GGTCAGGGGCGTGTACCTGGGTTGCGGGCACATCCCCAGTGGGAGATGTGTGGGAGGCGGCTGATCGATGTTTCTCTCTCATCAATGTTGCTGACTCTCTATCTCTCTCCCTTCCTCTCTGTAAAAAATCAATAAAATATATTTTAAAAATAAAAATAAAAAATAAAAAATTTGAATAGGAACAAACTGTAATCTACTGCACCTAGAGTTTAAAGAACCAAACAAATGAAAATTATGGATCAGGGAAAACCTAAAAGCAACTGCACAAGTAGAGACAGTGATCTCAGATTTTTGTTGACGAAAAAGCCAGGGTGGATGGAAAATGTGATAGGGTGCCAGGCTGGGGGGTGATGGACTGGGTCCCAGGGACTTGATTCAGGGTACAGGGCCTGCAAGAGGCAGCCAGGGTGGAGTTAGGGCTGGACATTTCCTCCCGGGAGAACAGTAAGGGACTGGGGAATGTTTAGCGGAGAAAGCGTGCACACCCAACCCAGGTAAATAAAGCTACCAGCTGCTGGGCGCCGCTGTCCCAGCCACTGCTGAACGCTTTCCCTGGAGTGTCTGGCTCGCTGGTGTGTCAGTGAGCGTTCCTCCGGGTGGAGGGCTTCTGTGTGGAAGGGAATCTCCCCTCGTTCCCAGGCATCCACATATGTCCACTGGACGGTGGCACATACTACAGACACGACCCCGAAACGCTCCCAGGGAGGTGGCCTTTCAGGGCCGGGATGGCCAGGCCTCTCTGGCTCTAAATTCAATTAGTGTTTCTATGGAGAAAAAGCGGTCTTTCCGGGCCTGGGTGTTCAGGCTCAGGCTGCAGAGAACATTTCCTTCTGGTAAATGAAATGAGCGAGCCTGGTCATCGGGATCCACCCGGCGGCAGCGTGGCCCAAGCAGGCTCTGCTGGTGGCGACAGCGTCTCCAGACCCTCCAGCGGACTCCCCAGGGCCTCCGGCAGCGCCACGTGGAGAGCCCTCCTCTGCCCTTTCCCCGGGGTTGCTCAGCCGTGTGGGGGGAGGCTCTGTGCCCCCCACGCCACTGAGT